ATGCCACCCTTAGTTAGGAAGGTAGGACCAGGAAGGTTCTAGAACTGAAGGGAGGTGGTGCTTGGCGTATGGATGGAATTTGGAGTTTGATACTGGCAGGCAGTTTGCTATATGGATCTGAAGCTCCAGAAGGAAATGTGCAGCTGTGATTTAGACTTAGGCGAGCCTTCAGCGAATGGAATCATGGTGCGGTTATGAGAGTAGGCCCTGGAAGAGTACTGCCCAGTAGGAGTGTTCGCTTCCAGTCTTGAAGCTGCTCTCCAGCGCATTGTGAGTTCTCTTAGGCTTGCCTTTGATGTCTAAAGTGAAGTGGGTAATTTCCTAGCTCTCCCACTGGAAACTTGGCCAGTGTTTCTGCTGTGGCAGTAATGACCTTATGAGCCATCTATAATTTTTAATTTTTCTACTTTTGATGGGTACAGTTTGTTTTCCAGATCACAATCTGAATGAATACTTTAAAATACTGAATTGTGTTACTGTTTCCCCCCCCCCCNCCCCGAGACAGGGTTTCTCTGTAGCTCTGGCTGTCCTGGAGCTCACTCTGTAGACCAGGCGGGCCTCAAACTCACAGAGATCCTCCTGCCTCTGCCTCCCTGAGTGCTGAGATTAAAGGCATGCATCACCACTTCCTAACTCGTTTTGCTGTTTTCTTGATCCGAAGTTTCCCAATGGCTTCTGTCCTACTCAGGAAATCCCAAGTCCTTACTGTGCCCAGCAAACTGCGCACTTTCAATTTAAGTGTGACTCGCTAGAGGGAACGCCTTGGCACAGTGTTACTCTTCATTCGCTGTCTCAGCTATTGTTTTATTACTATTGCTGTTGTTTGTAGAGACCTTCTCAAGCCAAAACAACATATTTTTATGCAGTTTATGATAGAAGAGCATACAGAGTGTCTACCAGAAGTGTCTGGTAATATGTATCTTGTTTGCTTATATTTCAGTATACGCTTTGTGAAAGCCTGGGATTTTTGCCTTTGTAATTGCAAAGCCCAAACCACCACCAAGAATATAGCTGGTCCTAGTTAGTTTGTTTTATTGAATGGATGTGAGTGACAAAATTAAATCATGGCGTTTTTCTACTTAAAACTTGTTATTCCTTCAATCATGTATTGTATTGTGCTATATTGTATTATTCCTTTCCTGTTAGGCATGAGTCTTGAGTTTATACACGAGCCAGTATAATCTTTGAAAAGTATTTATTAGATTGTGATGTTTCTAATTCTGTAATAAAATAAAAGGTCCCCAAATTAACATTTGAGAAATAAAGAAATATCAAATACAGAATAGATTTCTGCCATAGCCTACAAGGCTAGTTTAGAACCTGGCTGGCTGAAAATTTATTCCATTTTTCTTTACTCTTGCCACTGGGTTCCAGTCTTCTTGGCATCACTCTTAAGTGCCTTAGCTTAAGTTCAGGGCTTCTGTTTATATCGTTCCACTGCTCCAAACAACTTCTGACCTTGAACTCTTATTCTCCTGCCTCAGAGTCCGACTGCTGGGACTATGGACATGTGTCACCATACTTGGCTTTGTGTGCTTTTCTTTATATACATCTGTGCTTCATATAAAAATTGAAATTATAAAAATTACAAAAATATATTACACTTAGATTAAATTCCACTTTTGTGGAACTATAAACCTCCCTCTCTCTGTGTCATTATGGCTACTGGTGTGTGTTACCGTAACCTGGTCTGTAAGGCTGACCAGTGGGACTGTTTTACTCTCAAATCCTCAGGCAAGCTTTATTTCCTACAGAAGCTGGCATAAAGTGTGGCCATCATTCTGAGATGATGTGTGGCCTGCATTGAGATGTCCTCAAGTAGAATGAAGCTTTGTACACTACTAGTGTCTAGACCTGACTCACAAAAGCTCTCCACAGTAGTTCCCCGAGGTGGAGGCAGGTGGTATGTCTGCAGTTTACAGATGAAGAAATGAATGTAGGCAAAGTGACTAGCAGTGACCGAAAATGAAACATCTCTCTGCTTCTGGGTCTGATATTCCTCTCTGCTGAGCCGTATTTCTGGACCTACAAAGGAATCCTACTTAACCTGTGGCTTTGAACTCCAGGGAACCAGGAGAGTAGGCTTTTTTAGGTCAGGCTTTATTTATACCAAGTAGTAATTTTTTTTAATGGGAAGTGACTATGAAAGAATACCTAAGAAAAATGTTTAAAAATATCTTTGACCATTATTCTATGCTTTTTACAGTTGACTGTATAAAAATCATACTATATATTTACTATTTTTACTTAGATTAAGTAGAGAGTAAGGTATTAAAAACGAATCCATGATATAACCTTTTGTTTGAGTTTCTTCCCCCCAAGCCTTTAACAGCACAATATTGCAGTATCTTGCAACTCAAGTTATTAGTTTAGCCTGGATTTTGTGGTTTATCTTTAAGAGTGTTTGTGCTTATCCCTGTGCTTTATGACCAGAGCCAGTATTTTTAGGGAAGTTGCTGTAGCCTTTTTGAAGGACTTGTGTGTCATGAGCACAGTAGTTCTAGTGTTCATGGCAAGTAGTGGAGAAGAGAATTCTTTGCAGTGAAGATTGGTTTTTAGATTTGCTTGAATAGCCCATGAATTTATTAGTACAGGAAAACAACCAGAGCTTTGTGGCAAGGATCGAATAAAATAAGGCTTTAAGAACAGGGCTTACATAGCTTGTTTCTATTTTGTGTATTTAAAAGACAAATAGCTATTTTTTAAGTGCCTAGAACTTATTACTAAAAGAATTCAAATGGAAAATGTCATTGTAACTCAAAGTATTTTATCCACTTCAGTAGTGCAACATTTTTTGTGGAATGCCTGAAATGTATGTGAATAACGGAAGGGTGTCACGAAGGTGGAATGAGTGTTCCTTTAGTCTTAAAGACAAGGACCCTCGTAGCTCAGGCTGTCTTCTCCATGTCTGTAGCTATAGCTTCTTAGTCTCCTGTCTCTAGGATTACAAGTGTGTGCCACCATGCCTGGTTTGACAATTCTGTTATCCACAAAACAGGTGCATGGTTACCTACTTTTTTTCTATATAGCTTTTTGACTTTTCTATCATGTGGGAATTTGGAGTGACATTGTAGGCATCTTTCTTTGGTATGTATGGAATAAGCATAAGTCACACACAGACACGCTACAATGATTGAAATGACTTAAGAGTTTGCTTCTGGAGTGCAGTGTTTATCAGGACTCCTGCTGCTCTGTCTCCTAAGCAGTAGACTGTAGGTGTTCACTACTGAGTGTGGTAGCTTAGTTCGTATTCAAGAAAGGTTCGTACAACTGCATTTTAGGGGTGTTTGTTTGTTTGTGGGTGCTGAGTTTGACTTCAGGGTCCCACACCTGCTAAGTCCATATTTTGCCATTGAACTATATCCTTAGCCCCTTAAATTATTTTGAGAGAGGACTTCATTGTGTCCAGGGTACCGGGATCTGTGTATCCTTTGCCTGATTAGACCTCCAGTGCTGGGTGTAGTCAGCTACCACACACTCAGCTTCACCTTGTTTTGTCATTCTTTTCCTGTGTATTCTGATAGATTACTTTTGTAGAGGATGTAGTCTGTGGTAAGACTGCTATAAAAGAACCATGTGTACACATGTGCATGTGTGCTTAGTGTGTGTATGTATGTGATGCCTCACATCAGACCTGGGGTCTCCTGCATGGTAGGCAAGTGCTCTGCTCCCGTCCTGAACAGCACCCAAACTGGGTAGGCCTGCACAGCCCCTGGCAAGAATTCTCAGGTTATATTTAAGAGGAACTCAAGACCCCCTCCCTCACCCCACTTCATTTCTTTGTGGCCAGCATTAGATGTCTTCTTCACTTGCCATTGGCCTTATTGAGTCACTCACCGGACCTGGAGCCTTACCAGGCCATCAGCACCATCCATCTCCCTGTGTCTTGACTCTCCATCCCCAGGTCCTCTGTCTGTGTGGCAGCATGGTATAACAGTGCCATTCTCCTAGCCTAACACATCATTCTTTTTTTTTTTTTCATATTTATTGTGTGTTTTTTCATACTTTCACCTGCTCAGCCATCTTGTTGGCCCCTGTCAGGTTCTAAGTATCATGGATTTCTTTCTTTTTTCTTATTTTTAAGATTTTTTTTAGTAATTTTTTTTTACTAAATGGTTTCCATTCCCTTCTTTCCTCCTATTTCCACCCCCCAAATGGTCCCATGTCTCATCCATTGCTGTAAATTTCTTCCTCTCTTTTTTTTTTTTGAGGCTGGGTTTTTTGTTAAAGTGTGTTACTTTTGTTTATGTTATATTTGTTTTTAACTCTGTAAAGCTGTGATTCTTTGCCTGTCTAAAACACCTGATGGTCTAGTAAAGCTCTGAATGGCCAATAGTGAGGCAGGAGCAAGGGTATGAGGAACTGGCAGGCAGAAGATACAGAAGGAGAAACCTGGGAGATTTTCAGTGTATTATTAGCCCAAGGAGGAGGAGGACATCAGGGCCCAGCCATCCAGCTACACAGCAGTCCATGGAGTAAGAGTAAGATTAACAGAAGTAAGAGAGCAGAAAAGCTCAGGCAAAAGGGTAGGCAGGATAATAGAAGTTAAGTAAAAGCTGTCAAGCAACAAGCCAAGCTGAGGCCGGGCCATTATAAGAAAAAGAATAAGCCTCTGTGTGTGATTCTTTTGGAGCTGAGTCGTGGGCTCCTCAAAAGAGTAAAAACATAATACTACAAGGTTTCTTTCTCTGTATAAATATCATAAAACACCAGAAGGTGCTTTTTTATTATGTCTGATTGATTATGTACTTCAAAAATGAGATATGTCTTTAAGGCCCTCTGCTTTGCAGGAGTTTAAATTGAGAATACTTGATCTTGGGTAACTGTGTAAGAGTTAGCAGATCCTCTGACTCTGGTGATATGTGCCATGGTAAATAGAGGGACTCAGTTAAGGAACTCAGAAGGATGGTGTGTACTATGTGTATCTTGAGATGTGTTTGTTATCCACAAGTCTGTAAATAGTGACATCATAGTGACCGTCTTGTGATTTCCCTTCACAGATAACAAGTTGTGCTAGTACAGCCGTATAAATAACTCCTGAAGTCTCAGTGTAACGTGGACTTAGCAGTGATGACACATAAATGCAGTACTAGGCGAAACCCTTCAAAAGGTAAGAAAAGAATGTGTTGTTCCCGAAGGCCAGTGAGATGGAAGTCATTGCGGGTGTGGTTCTAGTGTATCAGGCTTGAAATGTGCACAAGAGCCTGTCTAAAATGAGAAGTCAGCTATAAGTTATGGGTTCCTTTGTGAAAATAACAATGGTAGATATTCCTAATTGGCAAGTACAGTGAGGGATGCTCTATAGTGAGCCCTCCTGAGAAATGAGAAATGAAATTGCAGAGTGTACAGGGAGCCTCAGGTCCTGGTGGTGGCTGCCACATTATGGACTGTCTACTCTGTGTTCTGATGGACTTCTGGGGAGGGCAGGGAAGTCATGAGTTGGAGTCTTCAGTATAAGGCTGGATTTTCAAGTCAAGCTTACATTTTGTAGGATTATGCTTTCCCTGTACACCCACTATTTTAGAGCTTTAAACAAAAAGAGGGGAAAATAGCAGGTTTTCTACTTTATCTACTGTAGAACTTATAAGGAGAGGTTGCATTCATAGTTGGTAGGTTGTACCTCTGTTCCTCTCTGAGAAGTAATCTCTTCCTACATAATATTTTATTAATGTAAATAGGAAGATTAATAAGAAATTTCAAGGGTAAAAATATATACTAGAGTACAATTCTTTTTTATTTTAATTTTTTAATTTCATGTTTTTGAGTGTTTTGTCTGCATACCAGAAGAGGGCATGGTTTTCATGGGACTATAGTTATGGATGGTTGTGAGCCACCATGTGGGTTCTGGTGGCTCAAGACTTCCAGAAAAGCAGCCAGTGCTCCCAGCTGCTGAGCCATCTCTCAGACCCTAGAGTCAGTTCTACAGATATTAGAATGAGAATGCAAGCTTGAAGAGAAAAAGTTAAAAAAAAAAATCTACTTTAAATATTACAGAAGTGCTGGACATGGAAGTGCAGACCTTTAATCTTGGCATTTGGGAGGCAAAATTAGGTCTAATCTACATCCTGAGATCCAGACAACCAGAGTGATGTAGAAAGACCCTGTCTGAAAACCAGCAGAAGGAACAGCAGGCATAATTATTTGTGCACACTCGTAACCCCATCCCTTGGGAGTTCAAGTTCAGCAACCATAGGGATGTTTGAGGTCAGTGTGTGCCACTGGAAACCCTGTCTCATAAAACAAAACAACAGGCTAGGTGTGCTGGCTCACATGTTTAATCCCAGCACTCAGGCATCAGAGGTGGCAGATTTCTGTGAGTTACATTAGCCTGGGCCGTACAGTGAGACCCTGTTTCAACAAAACAAAACAGACACATAAACCAGCAAAATACTATATTATAGTAATGAAAAGCTTATTATGTGTGTTAAAATAAATATAGCAGGCATTGGATCATTTTAATACTTATTTAGTTTCTGTTGGCTATATGTAAATAGACCAAGTACATCACCTTTAGCAGTAATCTATTCATTTTTCCTAGATAGAAACCCTGGTTTATAAGATTTGGTAATTGCACCAGTCCTTAATTACAATACTTCACTTAAAACAGTACCCATCTAAAAATACCTAGTTTAATGCTTAAAATAAAGTGGCAAGGTTAGTCATAAACATTTGCTTGCCTTTTTTCTAGTACTGTTATTTGCAGATGGTCATTCCTAATAACCCAATTAGCTAGAGCATGTGGTCTCTGAAAAAGATGCCATAACATATTAGTAAAACTGCAGTTATATAATATGCCAAGAATTGGAATTTTACTAGGTTAATTAAAATATCAGACAGTATTTAACTCAGGAAACTTTTTCCTATTTTTCTTTTTTTTTTGATTTATTGATTTGGATTTTATACCATGCGTATCGATCCAATTCATCTAACTCTTGGCTTTTTTCTTATTGGAGAATCTCTGTGGTCAGACATGGTGGTGCACACTTTTAATAATATCCTGTACTTGGAAGACTGAGGCAGGAGGGTATCCGAGCGTAGGGCCAGCTAGAGTTCCAGGACAACCGGGGCTGTGTAGGAAGACCTTGTCTCAAAAACAAAAACCAACACCACCACCAATAAAAAATTTAAAAAGAAAAAGAAAAGAAAATACATATGGGTAAAGGTAGCAGAAGCTTCAGTTAGTAGCTTACTCTGAGCCTGTTAGTGGGGCTCACATGTGCTCGGATACAGAGGAGTCTCAGCGTAAACTTAGCACCATGGTTTTGTTTTTATTCAGTCCTAAGTCTAGGAAATCCTCTAGAAATTCTTTATATGGTCTTCTTTAAGGGTGGGGGGGAAGCCTTTGATTAGAGCAAATTGCTAGAAAGGGCTGAATCATATTTTACTTAAATTAATAATTGAGTTATTTGTAAGGATTTGTGTTTCAAGTTTCTTCAAGCTTGTCCCACTTGCTAACTGCCCTTGAGGCTACTTAACCAGGAAGCACCAAAACATCACTTTGAAGAGACTGCTGCCTCTGTGTACTTCTGTAATCAGAGTATATCATTAGCATAAGTTGCTTTCCTTATTTAATACTTTGTTATCATTTTATTTTAAAGAGAGACGTTTAAGAGGTTCTAGTGTTCTTCGAGGCTGAAGCTGAGAACCGGAAGCTTAAGCTCTATTGTAGATCATAGCTTCATCTGCTCATATAAGGAAAAGAAGGAATATTTCCACAATGATAGATCTTTGGTTATACAGGTAAGTTACTCAGTTGTGCAGTAGAGAAAACAACTGTAGTTTGATTTTATTTATCTTGGTGGGAGGAGACATGTTATTTTCCATCTTCCTTTCTCTGCCTTGCTGTTTGATGGCATACATATTTTCCATTTCTCTTTTCTCAACAAATGGGTAAATGAAATGACGGTATCTTGAGACTAGACTAAACCTGTCTGAAATATACATATTTAAGGAGCAGTGTGAAAGTCTTTGACTTCTCAGTTCTTTTCAGTGTGTATTCATTTGAATCTATTCTGTCTTCCTGTATGGCTCTCTGTCTTGTCAATCATCTACTATATCTCTCTTGACAACGAAGAAGAGATCCCTCTGTATATAACTGCATGATAGAATTTCCAGACTTCAAAGAGGTGACTATTAACTGTTCATTGCATTGAGTGGATAGGGTCACAGGTTTTCTTCTGCTCCAATGGAGTGATAATCATACAATTGAAATAATTTGTCTGTTAAAAGAGTTGTATGACTAGGTGTCAAAGTATGCACCTGTAATCCTACCACCAGGACACAGGAGGATTGTTAGTTTTAAGGCCGGTTCGGGATGCATAGCAAGACCCTACATCTCAGAGACTTGCATGATAAAGAAAGTCTGAGCACAGCTTATGCTACAGGCAGGCAGAGTCATACTGGCGACACCTCTCGGTTACCCTTACTCACTTTTTTCTTTGATTTTGGCCTTTGTACCTGGAAATATATGGGTATTGTGACCAGTTTTCTAGATGTTCACTTAATAAAACTAATATGATGATAATATTGGTGTTAGCTAGGCATGGTGGCATACTATGCCTTTAATCCCAGCACTCAGGAGGCAGAAGCAGGTGGATCTCTGTGAGCTGAAAGGCCAGCCTCCTTTACATAGTGAGTTCCAGAACAGCCAGAGCTACATAGCAAGGCTCTGTATAATAATAATTTATTATTATCCAGAGTAAATAAAAATAAAATAGTATTGATGTTAATTGCCAACTCCTCATCCTAAAGTAAACTGGGACACTTGGTGAGTAGAGCAGGGGCCAGAGGCTACAGTATGGAGGTTCTAGGCACTGTACTAGGGATAGTTTTTGAGTAAAGCGTAGCTGCAGCATGCTTTGTTTCTAGTGGGTGGTGGGCCTTTGTCGTTTAGTCTGTCCTATTTCTTTTGGTTCTGATTCAGTAATGTGGGTGTAGTCACTAGGACTGGAGGTTCATGATCAGAAAGAGCTAATAATGTTTCAGAATTTTAATAGTTTTTATGAAAGTAGATTCAAGTTCAGGGGATGGTGCTTCAGTGGAAGTCTGATAAGAGTTAGGATGTGTGGATTTAGGGGAAGTTTGAAGCTCTGGACAGGCTGAAAAAGTTTGGTTGCTTGGCCTATTTCATTCTCTTCAGTAGTATGAAAGCTTAGGAGGATGGGGCATGCAGGATAAACTGCTAATTCTAGTGATGGGGTCATGTTCTCTTCTTGTTCTGTGGAAAATGGTGCTGCTCACCAGCTGGTGGGTAACAGAGGACAGAGTTTATAGTCTTATTACTGGGTTGGGTACATTTTCTCACATGAAAATGTGAACTCAGGTTTCCCTTAATTCTAAAACTATAATAATACAGTTTCTCTTAACAAATGGGTGTGGCTAAGGCTTTCACCAGGTGTCTCTTAGTTTATATTACTAAGGGTGTTCCTGAGCTAGTTGGCAAATAGGTTCACTTCTATTCCCATAACAACTTCATATTTGGCAAGGATATAACTATATGACCAAACCTCTTCATTGGATTCTTTAGTGACTTTGTATTTAGCTAAAATAAGGAAAATAGCAGTTTCAGTCTGTACTACTTTGCTAAATAAATAAACTTGGCACAACAATATTGAGATTTGGTTGGAATAATGTAGACAAACTTTATTAAAAGTCCCATATTGATTAATGGCTTTTACGTTTAGTTTATCAGATACTTGCAAAATGTATGTATATTTCATATATGCTTATGTAAAAATAGGAAAGAGAAAGAAATATAACAGATTTGTTTTAAACTTGGGCTTTCATAATTTGACTAGATTTTTACTTTAAGTGTATAAGGTAGTTTTGCAATCTGTTTGATGCCTCTTTAGCCAAAGCGATCATGGCCTTACTTATAATATTTTGTTTTAATCGTTATGATGTAGTAAAATATTAAAGAGAATTATGTATCTAATTTGGTTTGCAACCTTATGATTGAATGACGTTGTTAGGCTACTGCCTGAGTTTCTGTGTTTCTCCTACTCCAGCATGTGTGAATTGTTGGGTAGGGTCTAAGATTCTGCAGTTCTTTCTTTTTTCTCACCTTTTCCCCTTTCTATTCTAAGTACCAAACGCAAGCCAGTTTCTAGCAAGCTTCAGGACATGCTTCTAATGTGAACTCTCGGGCTATATGGTTACAGCAGTTTGAAATACCAGAAAATACTCACTGTCAGATGAGCTCTTCTTGTTGGCTCCCGAAAACATAAATATATTTCCCTCCCTCCCTCCCTCCCTCCCTCTCTCCCTCCCTCTCTCCCTCCTTTCATTTTTACTGTTTATTAGTCCTCTCCCGAAACAGGTTCTTGATAATTGTAGCCTAGTAGTTAGCCTTTAATGTAATCAGTGGATAGAACTAAAGCCTTTTTAGGGAACAAAAGACACAGAAAGAGACTTAATCTTTGGTTCTAATCAGTGTTTTAGTTTTATAACTGGAATCATAAAACTACAGGCTTTCATAGGTACTCTTTGATAGTGATTTCATTTATATTTGTGTGTATATACACGTTTATATTCTTACATATATACATACACATGTTTATATTCATACATATATACATACATATGTTTATATTCATACATGTATACATACACTTTTAAAATAATTATCAGTATTAATGACAGATGTCTGATTCAATACTCTGTTTTGTGGAAGTTAAATTACAGAGAAAGGTTTTACATCTTGTTCAGATTGGTATGGAAAGAGAAGAATGGTTAAGGAGAGCCAGTTAACCGAAATCTCTTCAGGGGGCATCAGCTATTGAAAAATAAAGCTTAATCACAAGTTATGAAGATAATTAAATTTGTATATTTTATAGTTTGCTTATAAAATTAATTTATTTCTAATTTTACATTCATATTTACATAGATATTAGTATATCACCTTCAACTTTGAGAACTCCAGACTTTGATACTTCAAAGAAATAAATTGCTTTAAAAATTTTTCAGTTTGTGTTCTTTTAACACATTAAAGTTTAACTTATTTATTTTGATTGGAAGTAGAAACTGATCAGTATTTTTTACCTGTAAGTAAAGCAGAACTGTTTTCTTAATGGCAAGCTGTTAGAAAAATAACTTCGGTTTCTAGATAGTGCAGTTCATGTGAGTGCTGTCTGCTCTGATGGAGCATACCTGCTTACTGTTAAGCTGATGTCCAGGAAATTCTCTAAAACAATTAATGCTGTTTTAAGGATTTTAAAGCATGCCCTGCTTCAGAATGAACCTGAGTTCAACCGACTTTGCATATTTCACGGAGTACTTTTCTTCCGTAGCTCATTGTCAGCAGCTAGAAATAGGGCAGCAGTTTTCTGTTTCTTGTGCAGCAAGTTGCTCTGCTCTTCTGTAGTTCTAGTGTTTCCAGTATTAGGTAATGCAGTTGAGGCCTAGAAGGGAATGTGCTTGATTTGCATGGGGAGTAGATAAAATGGCGTTAGATGGGTTCTGTATGAGGGAGGCCACTGGAAGGTGACCACGGCAGGAGGAAAGCATGGTGAAGCTGTGTTATGCTGTTGTTGACCCTTTCTTTATTTAACCATTCTGTGCTCCTCTTGAAGTTGTTAAGCAGCAAGTGAAGTGACAAAATATCTAAGAAAACCAACAGAAGGGGAGGAAGGGGATAGAGACGTGGAATATCATAGTGCCTTTGTTCTTCTCGATCATATGGAAGACCTGGAAAATATCATTAGCTCTTTCAGAGTTTACCCAGGCGGATCAATGAGGAGATTTTCCAGTAGGCTTCCTACTTCTCTTAGAAGGTTCAAGCATCCGTACCAGAAAATTCACTCACCTCCACACAGTGAGTTAAAGATACGCTGCCCTACATACAGAACCTTAAAGAAGAAAGTGGGTGTGTGTGCATGTGTGTAAATACACACATGACATGTGAGATGATACTCCTTACTTCTGAAGTGACTCTCTTTGAGGACAGCTCTTGCTTTCTGTCTCCTCAAAATGCTTTCATGTAGTGATATGCCTTTCTCTAGAAACTAGAGCTTTGATTGGTTGTGGTGTTTGGCAGTGCAAGCTAGTGTTGCGGCCACAGTTTAATTACAGAAAGTTCATAGCAATATGCCATAGCTTGTTATCAGGGGACTTAACCGAAACTATTTTAGTAAAAACCACAGACTGATTAGAAATGTGTTCTATAAGATAGCTAGCTGATCTATAACTTTAAGAGTGCTACTTTAATAACCAACATGGTTATGTTAGGTTCATCATTTCTGAGAGGCAAAGAGACAGTGAACTTGGTCTCTACAGTTGTATATGAACTGGCTATATGTAGGTTGTCAGTAGATTGTTGAGGCTGTCTGTGCCTTAGTCTCCTCAGTTGTAAAGTAGGTACAATAGCTGTACGTGTGAGTTGAGACTTCAGGGAGTGCAGGGTGTTTAACATAAACATGGAGTCCTAGAACCTAAAAAATGGTATTTAACTGTTAGCTATTATTAATGTCATTATTGGAAATTTTAATAAAATAATCTTTGTCCCATTATTTATTAATAATGGCTATACTTGGATAAAAAGTTATAACTTTATACTTTTGTTTTAGATATATTAACTATTACCTTTTTCTCATTATTTTGTTTACATTTTGAAGGTTTCCCAATGAGTGGATCATGATGACCGTATGGTAGGGACTTGCCATAGTATGGCTGCTTCCCGATCTACTCGTGTTACAAGATCAACAGTGGGGTTAAACGGCTTGGATGAATCTTTTTGTGGTAGAACTTTAAGGAATCGTAGCATTGCTCACCCAGAAGAGATCTCTTCTCATTCTCAAGTACGATCACGATCACCAAAGAAGAGACCAGAGCTTGTACCAGTTCAGAAGGGAAGTGCTAGTGGAAGAACTTGTGATGTGAAACAGCAGAGTGCGCGAGAAGCGTGGGTAAGCCCTAGGAAAAGAAGACTCTCCTCTTCCGAGAAGGATGACCTAGAAAGGCATGCCCTAGAGAGCTGTGAAAGAAGGCAGACAGAGCCAGCAGCGCCAGGCCTGAGGAACATTAAACGCTATTCTAGAGCTGAAGCCTCAAACAGCTCAGAGGAAGATTCGCCTGTAAAACCAGACAAGGAGTCGGTAGACCAGAGGACAGTAGTGGACCATGATGCAGAGTTTCAAGGGACTAAACGAGCTTGTCGATGTCTTATATTGGATGATTGTGAGAAAAGGGAAATTAAAAAGGTGAATGTCAGTGAGGAAGGGCCACTTAATGCTGCGGTAGTAGAAGAAATCACGGGCTATTTGACTGTCAATGGTGTTGACGACAGTGACTCGGCTGTTATAAACTGTGATGACTGTCAGCCTGATGGGGACACTAAACAAAATAGCACTGGTTCCTATGTGTTGCAGGAAAAATCAGTAGCTGGAAATGGGGATTCAGAAACGCAGTCTCCAGTGTTCTTTGGTAGTAGGAAGGAGGACAGCTGTATAGAGCATCTCGTGCCTTGCACAAAGTCAGAAGTGCAGATCAAGTCGGAGGACCCCAAACTAGTAACTTCCTGTCTCCCCGTGGAACGTCGGAATCAGCTGACTGCTGAGCCAGCCGTGGGCCCTGTTTCTGAAATTCAGTCATCCTTAAGAGATTCTGAGGAGGAAGTAGATGTGGTGGGAGATAGCGGTGTCTCAAGAGAGCAGTGTGATGAGAACAGCAGGGACCCTCTGGACACAGATCCTGAAAGCATGCCAGTCTCCGCAGAGCCAGAACCGTCCTCTACGCTAGACTGTGCTTCAGCTCAAATGACACCTTTATCCGAACCGCAAGAGCACCGGTATACCCTGAGAACTTCGCCTCGAAGGGCAGCTCCAACCAGAGGTAGTCCCACTAAGAACACATCTCCTTACAGGGAAAATGGACAATTTGAGGAGAGTAATCTCAGTCCCAGTGAAACGCATACAACTGTTAGTGATAATGTAAGTCAGTCTCCCACAAATCCTGTTGAAATTTCTCAAAGTGAAAAGGTTCTGTGTTGTGACTCTCAAAACCATGGAGGTGAAGGACTAAGTAAGTCACCCTCAGAGGCCACAATGAATGTTGGACCCTTGCCGTCTGCCAAAGAGAGTGCCAGTCAGCCCCCTGCGGAAGAGGAGGATGATGACCCTGATGTTTATTACTTTGAATCAGATCATGTGGCACTGAAACACAACAAAGAGTATGTGTAACCATGGTAACCATGAGTTGTGCTTTGTTTATCACTGCAGGCTTTCAGTATTATTCGTAAATGTCTAGTCTGAATGTTTCTATTGTGGAGGAAGTTAACACTTTAGCATAAGTTTAGACTTAACATAAGTTTCTTAACTCAAAAACTGAGATTCAGCATTGAACGTCATTACTCGTCTCTAGTTGACGTTTTCTGGTGCTGAGTTCCCACGTGTCTAAATAAGAAAGGACAAGTGAAACCATGGGCAGTGTCACAGGAAGTCAGTGGAAACATGAGCGCTAGTGCTTTGGATCTGAGTTAGCACAGTCCACTTGGACTAGAGATTTTTAACATCTGCCTTTATAAATCATAAGTATGTAGCTATCGTCTAGGTACTGACAATCTGGCAAACTAGAAATTATGTTTAAATCTCCATTAAATGTCTGACTTAAGAATGTGCTTGAGGCATCATCGTTGTAGATTAGAGCAATGGACAGTGCTGTTAACACTGATGGTGGCTTGGCTCAGCCCTGGCTCATAGTGCCTGTAAGGTCTCACACCTTTACCAACGTACTTTTGCAAAATATTCTGTATCCAAATTTTTCACAATTTTGCTCATTTATTTTAAGTTATTCTGGAAAATACCAAAAATGAATCAGAGCTGTCTAATCCTAGAAGGACTCTAAAGTGCTCATCAAAACTACTTTAATAGGTAACAGTGACCAATTAATTAAATTAAGTAAATTAATTCCTCTCATCGGTTGGCTTTTAACTGCTGTCACAAAGTCACATTGTAGTGGTTGTACAAAAATAATTGGAGTTGAAGACTATTCTAATGCTTTTATTGTGACAGATGCCTGGTCAGGCATCACTGGGACATGATCTCTTTACCATGCTTAGCAGGACTTCTGTCAGGACATATATCTGGTAACACTGTAACCTTTTAGCATAGGTCTCTTTTCTGGAAAAGAGGTTTTTTTTTTTTCTGTGCTCTTTTTGTTTTTGTAGATTTTTTGAGACAGGGTTTCACTGTGTTGTGGCCCTGGCTGTCCCAGAACTCACTCTGTAGACCAGGCTTTCTTCAAACTTAGATCTGCTCGCCTCTGCCTCCCAAGTGCTGGGACTAAAGGCATGTGACACTGCTGCCCAGCTTCCTATGTTCTTTTAAGATTGTATTTTAAAACCGGATTTAAAAAAGATTTTATAAATTACTGTAGAAGGTTCCGAGTCTAATAATTCACGAGATCAGTTTAAGGCCGGAACGTATAATAAGTGCCTAAGTGAAAGATTTCAGTTAGAAATAGGATAACTGGTACACAGTGGCACACCCGCACAGTCCCAACATGAGAGGCCAGGGCAGGAGGGTGCCTGGGTCATGTAAGGGGACCCTGTCTCCAAAACTAAACAAACCAAAACAAATCAACAAATGTTTTCCATTTATACATAATTTAAAAAGGGGGGGTTATAGGCACAAAGAAACATGTTTTAGAGAAACAACTAAAACCTCAAAAAAATAATAATCTTGTTTCATTTTCTTATCTTTGAAATGGGGGCTGTCTTTCTGTGTCATCGAGGTTTGTGTTGAATTGTGACTCAAGTGAGTCCCCTGTTCTTGAGAACATGGGACTTCAAGCTTTTGTCACCATGGCTAGCTCCAATTTAAATGACTTTGAATTTCTCCACGTTTTTTCTGAACTGAGAGCCTGGCAGGTGAGAGGCGGGTGCTCTGCTCCTGAGCCACACCTTCTCTTCCAGGAAACAATGTTCTCTTGATGTTTGTTGTCTTTGTTACAGGGTATTCTCTTCAGTTTTGACTCATATTTGATTCTGGGAAATAGTAATTCACTCTTGTTACTTTTAAAATTGAGGTTATTAAGGACAATACTCCCATAAAATAATTATCCAAGTAGTGGCTTTACCTCCCAACAGGTGGTATTCCATGTACATCAGTACGGGGCATGGAGTCCTTTGGAGGTGGGGTGCTGTTTACTCCATGAGGACAGTGCTCAGTGCCGATGCTTCATTGAGTGACTGGGTGAAAGAAAATACTTATTTTACTCCTGTTATCTTTTGCTTTGAAAATGACGCTTAGTTTTAGGTTTTACTCTCTTTTGCTTTCTGCTTGCATTGCTAGGGATCAGAACCAAGGGTCTGCATGGTAGGCAGATGTTCTACCACTGCTCTTCTTGGATGGAAAGAGATGATCATGATTAGTATCTTGGTTTGAAGTAATTCTTAGAAAACAGTATTTGATCATATTGCATGTAAATTCTGTATAAAAATCCCTTTTTGTTTCTATTCCCATTTTTTTTAATACAAATGTCAGAGATAATTGGCTTTTAAAAAACAAAACTATAAAACAAGCCAAGTGATTGTTTAAAAACAGCATCACTATGATGCTCTCGTGCTTTCAAGGGTCGGGAATTTCAAATGCTTTGGAAGTGGCATTGGTGGATCCTCTCTGTTGGTGCACAGTACTCTTTGTGCTGGAAAAGTTCTGTAGCTCATTGCCTGTGAAACTGGGGATTTAGCCTTGCCTACAGTCCTTTAGTACTCTGCCAGAAGGGACCACGGCCTACTTTCTGATGCCAATTAAAGCAGGTTATTAATGCCAGGTGCCATGCTGCACAGTCTACAGACCCCGTCTCAGGCAAAAAGTGTATTAATAGAAAATCCCATGGTTGCCGTCGTGTTCTCTTAAAGAGTTAGGCGCTTTGATTCTACCTGTTACAGTTAAAACTAAGCTAACAGTAATGATTTAATTGGCAGGCTTCGCCTTGTCATTTTAATGTATCCATCTCTTTGAAAGACTATCACTCGTAAATGTTTGAGAAGATGCTTTAGTGTCCTAGCTTGAGTCAAGGCTCATGACAAGTCTGTCAACGGCACAGGGAAATGAGTCTGAGTGTTAGGGCACTTGACTGTGGCTAACACTGTACTTTTGTTTATTCTTCCTCTAAATAGAGAACTCTACTTGCTAACTGAAAAAGAGGCTAGAAAATGTGTTCTTCTGGTGAGGTTCTTGCTCGTGGTTATCTTAGTAATATTGCCCAAGGCAATACTTGCCCTGAAAAGTTTCCAGTCCCTTGAAGGTCAATAATGCTCCTTTGGTAGCCTGGCTGATTGAGATCACTTGCCTAACTGGCTGCTCTTCCTGGTAAGCCCTGAGGTTCTGGCTTTCAGGATCAGATAAGGGTTTTAAGGTCCTAGGGTTTAGATTTAGTATTATTTTTTTCAATTCAAAAGGTAATCACTAGAAATGAAACTTGGTGATGTATATCAAAGTAGGTATATTACACAGGCTGTACAGTAGAGTCTGATGCCAGTGGTAGCATACATACTGAGTGTGTATGAGGACCTGGGTTCTGTGTCTGGTACTGCACTGCAAACACAAAAAGCTCCATGAGCTAATGGTACAAATGGGTCACACTTTGTCCTTTAAAAAAGATGAGTTTTGTTTTTTTTCTCTTTTGAGACAGGGTCTCTTGTAGCTCAGGCTGTCCTTAAGTTGTGCTGTTGCTGAAGGTAACCTTGAGCTTCTGACCCTACTCCCTCCCTTTCCTCTGTTGCTGGGATTACAAGAGTGCCTTGACTGGACTCAAACTTCTGTTTTCTAGTTGGTAATCCGAGTCAGGTCTGGCTAACCTCCTGGAATGAAGACTTCCTCCAGGGATTTAGGGAGTTTTTAGATTGAGAATCGTAACAGAGCTGATCTTTGGTGTTTGGTTTTTAAACAATCTGGCTATAGTTATAATGCCCTCATTTTTAATCCGTCAGAACCAGCATTTTAGGTGAATGACCCTCGTTTAACTTATTTAGCTGCTTTCATGTTCTTTGTTTTAATAGTGTGTTTGTGAAGAACAAGTGGCTTCATGGAGAGGATTTGGTTAGTTTACAAAGAGTATTCTGAGAGTTTAGATTGCAGTGGTCTATAAAAGTCAGCAGCTACTGGGGAAGAGGGTGCTCCGTGCTCCTTGCCAGCTCATAGAAAGTGCTGTAGAACACCAGCCAAACCTCACCCAGGCTTTGAGTGTGCGGATTGATGGGAGGGGCAAACTCTGTCTGAAGTATAACATTTGTTGTCAGGAGTAAGTCACTGACTGATCAAAACATGTAGTGAATTGTTGCCAACTTAAAGTATTTTCTTATGTGTATGGTTGTCTTGCCTGTGTGTATGTCTGTGTACCACATGCGTGTGCCTGGTACCTGTGGCGGCCAGAAAAGGAAGTTGGATCCTTTTGTACTGGGGTTCTAGATGGTGCTGAGCCCCCATGTGGTTACTGGGAACCCTGCACCCTGGAGTACCAAGCACCCTGGAAGCAGTAGCTGGTATTCCTAACTGCTGAGCCATTTCCAGGCCCATTACCAAAAAATTTTTAACTTTCAAGTAATATAGGTGATTTTAAATAATTCTCTGCTCTAATCTTAAGTATACTGGCGCATAAATATAGTCTTAACATTGCTGGTTTAGGGTCTCCGCAGGCAGAGACTGTGGACCGACACTTGTGACATCACTGTGATAATAGGTCTACTTTTCCATCTGGTGTGACTCCTGACTTCTTTATAATCCAGTAGTTTCTCTTCTTCCTGTGTCCTTTTGGCATCTCTGTGGCTTAGTATTTCATAGCTATACTTCACAGTTTTTATAGTTTGTAGAAAAGTAACTTGTGTACTAACCATGTTCAGTGGTTTGTTTGAGATGCCACATGCATAAGAAAGTTTAACTTTAACAATATGTGCAGGTATCTTACTCACAGTCACCAGGTCTCTCACTCTGTGAGGAACTAGTACAGTTCATTGACATTTTCTGACAGTAGTTGGCATCACTTAGAGAACAGCAAAATAAGATCTTAATTTCTCAAGACTTCCTCTCTTTGTCCCCAGTCACAAAGAGGTCCTTAAGTTTATCTGTAATTTTTCATGTGATAACTTATGACTTCCCTTTGCCCTCTCAACAGTGTTAGAGAAGTTCACAGACCCAGGGAAACAATTTATTTTATCAACTACAGAAA